AGATCTGGAGGAGTTTCTTGCAAAATGTGATTAGATACGAACTATGCTTTGTGGTGTCTAAAAGAGTTAGGAGCCTTTGAGTTTAAGGCAGCTGTATTAGGAGATGAGCCAATGTCAGTGATAACAGCAGTCTGCCATCCCCGACAAGGTTTTTTCCCAAATCCTTGTTTTTGCTCTACTCTGGTAGTGGGTTAAAAAAAATAAACCACCCTCAAAAGTAAGATATTTCTGGCAAAGCCTCAACAGCTGAATTTAGATGGAATGACCCAACAGATGTGATTTATGTTTCTTGTTTTGAAGTTGACCTGTGGGAACTTGGCACCTCTTTGCTTGCAGCGCAGATGTAGCTTTATGGTACACTGGAGCATCAGCAAAGCAAAACCACTGATGTGGTAAAGTGGCAGGAATTTGAAGGCGAGGGGGGCCTTACTTGTCCCTGGGGCAGTCAGTCTCCACGAGAGCCTGGAAGTCACAATCCTACATCCATCAATCTGTTTTTTAAGCCCTGTGGACAGCCAAGAACCTCACACCCAGATTTTCCTGAGCCCCAGAGCTGGTGGGTGGCACCTTAGCTAAAAAATAAACCTTCCAGGAGGGATGCTGTCTGGGCTTCTGGGAAGCCACAATGATACCTCTCTGGGGGGAGCACACAGCTCCAGTGACTGTGAGATTTAGGCAAGTTCAGTGCTGGTTACAGTGAGCTTTAAAAGAATCTCTCCTGGTTCTGCTGTTCATAAGCTCTGCAGCCTGTGGGATGGATGCTGCAAGGTGCTGAGCCCTCATCATCATAAGGAAAACCACTGCACCTTCACAGTGCTGGTAAAAGACCTTCATGGAGCTGTGGAGCTTTAAACCACACTCAGATCAACAGAAGTAAAGCTGACTGCTTAGCAAGCCAGCAAATCTACCCTTCACACAGAGAGGCCCTCAGTTTCCACCTCCAGGAGGTCTTTGTAGGTAGGTACAAAGCAGCACCAGTTCCCTGGAGAGTGAAACACTGTCTCTGGTGTCTGCTGAGAGCCACTTTGTGGCTGTACGCTGACTGGGCAAGGACGGGCGCTTGGCTTCTACCAGGAGAGAAGTGAGCATAACACACAGACAAAGCCTTGACTGACAACAGCAAAACCACCAGGAGACTCCAACCCTGTTGGAACCAGTATTGGGGACTTCAAATCATTAGGCCTTTGGGCTGTGATGAGGCAACTTCAGCAGTATTTCCAGCAGTTACAACACGTCTCTCAAAGCAGGTATTTGCTGGTAGCTAATGATAACAGAGACTCAGGGGTATTTGTCCCTTCTTGCACTGCTTAGGCAACAAGTTGGTGCCTGGTATTTTTCAGCTCAGAGAGATCATTGTGCCAGAAATCCTCATAGCTTTTTTTGATGGAGGTTGGTGCTTTGAGGTTGTTTTTCTGCCTGGCTTGAGCTGAGCCATGCAACCCTAATTCTTTTTGCCAGCTGGCTTTGGAGGGCAGTGGGTACCAGAGTCCTCCTGCCCCAGGTCCTAGCTGGCAGTAAACAGCCTCAGTGTGTGCACTGTGTGCACAATGAATTTCAGCCTGCATTCCTGAAGCCGCCAACTCCATAAAGAGGCTCTTCTGAACATCTGTGCTCAGCTGTGTGACAGCAGTGACAAGAGGGCAGCTCTCCAGCTGTCAGAGCAGCCTCCCCTCCTGTGGAGGGTCCACCAGAAGAGGCACCCCTGTACCTGCCCCTCCAACAGGCTTCTGCTCTGCATCTGAACCCACCCTACCTGCAGCACCTGGCAGCAGGCTGAGTGTAGCTGCATTTTCACAGGCAGAGAGCAAAGGGACAATCCATTTAGAGGCAATGTTGGAAAACAAATGGTAAACTTCACAGCATCCACCCCCTGCATCCTCAGCCCTGGGATTAGCTACAAAGAGGCTGCTGGGGCACACAGGTAGAGACAGGATGCAGGTAGTGGCTCCCTGACAGGGTGCAGCGCAAACCCAGAGTCAGCTGTGAGTGCAAGTGTGAGGGCAAAGTAGGACCTCAGCCAGGAGAGAGCACCATGGCATCACTGCTTGCTCCCCCAGAGCAAAAAAGCAGGCAGCTTTGCCATACCCTGCTGGCACAGCACAGCGGCAGCCAGGCAGCTTCAAGGAGCTGGCAATCAAGTAGGGTGCCTTTTTCCAGACATCCCCAACAGTCCTGCTCACATGCAACCCACTCCATAAAGGGCTGACTGGATCCCTGCACTTGCCAAGTGCATGTATATCCAGGGTTATTTCCGTCCTTTCAAATTCTTCTCAACTGTGTCTTCCTTTGCCCTCCTGCAGGAAGTTTTGGCTGCAGCGGAAGTACCTTTTTCTGCATGGTTGCACGATTTTTGTACAAAGCACATAGACGTCACATCTGAGAAGTCTGGGAAACAACCAAGGACAAGGTCAAGGCGAATTATGCAGGGCTAAGGATGGGCTTCTTCCTTTTGCTATTTAAAAACAAAAGAAACATCCAATCGGGCATGCAAAACAAGCCCTCTCTCTCCAGGAATGACCAAAAAAAAAAAAAAAAAGAAAAAAAAAAGGAAAAAAACACAACAAACAAAACCAAACAAACACTTCCCCTCTCCCAAAAAAGGGCAATCAAACACAGTTATGATCCACTGCTGGAAACATATTTTTCTGGATCTCTTCTCAGAGATTCTCTTGAAAGGCTGCTCACTCTTGGACCCAAAGGATGTGATCCTTATAGTCCAGAGAGGGAAAGCAAACATTTCAGAGCCAATCTGCCACAAGCAGGAAGCCCAAGTGCCCTGTCACCCAAGAACTTCGTTCTCTGCAAAGGGTTTCAAACAAATGACTGATGCAAGCAGGATCCTGCCTGTTCGTGATCTCCCTGTGCAGGATTCCAACATAGATAGTGCCTTAAGGGGATAACATCCATTTGTGGTGGAAAACAAAAGCCAGTACTTCTACTCTTTGACTCCCACAGCATCCAGGTTCTTCTAGAAACCCAGAAAACTGGGATCTCTCCTACCTGGAAAGATACTGGAAAAGGCTCTACACTCTGTGGGGATGATGGAGATGGATGTTCTCTCCTGTCATTGTTTCAAAATCTGTGTAGAGATTACAACTCCCCACCCCTTCCCACCCAACAGTCCTAACTGCCAGGAGGCCCTTAGGGCTACAGAAATACTTCCAGATGTCTACCACGTGTGTGGGATGAGTCCCTGCTTCTGTTGCAAGTCACAGAGCAACGCATATCACCAGAAGGTGGTCCATGGCACAAGAAAGGTTCATGCAGCCGAGGGAAATCTCAGAAGAGCTGGTTGCACCACCATTGCTGAGCAGCCCACATCCATCCTGCTCCCTTCCCTGAGATGCTGGGTCAGAGCTCTCCCAGCAGCAGGAGCCAAAAGAAGAGTGACTCGTTCCCCAGAGTGATGGAGGAGGGGACATTTTGGCAGTGGCTCAGCACCACATACTCCAGTGATGTCCTTAAACAACAGGAAACAGCCTGTTTGAGGCTGGCACGTCAGTGGCCTCCCACCATCCTCTGCCCAGCTGCTCATGTTTGCACTGACCTCATCAAACTCTGTCTCCAAGCCCCACCAAGTTAAGCCAGAATGCAGTGTGGGATGAACACAGGGAAGTGCAGTGAAGGGTTGGGACATTATCTCAAGAATATTAATACCTGTTCTGCAACGAACTCCCATGTGACTTTGGGAAAGACAAGTGAGAACACAGCCGTCTTCTCAAGTACACACCTGAAGCATGACCTCAGAATCTTTCAAGCCCATCTGCTCACTTGTCTGGGCCAGCAGGACCAAGTAGCACAGATCTTTAGGACTGCTTTTTAGGACTGCTGTGACCACCTCCTGAGTCCACTGGGCAGAAAAGTCTTCTTCCAAATAGCAGACAGAGGCACAGAGTGAGACCATTCTCATCTCACCCCACATTACCCTGAGAGCTGAACTCCTTCCCTCCAAGAGTTAACACGTACCACAATGTTTCTGGCTAATATGTAACCCTGATGTTTTGCACAAGGTTTGTGAAAAGCCACACAGGCCATTTAATGGGCAACATCAAAGCCCATAACCTAATCCTTACCCAGCCTTTCATGCCTTCCTTGGGAGTTTCAGAAACATTTTTTTGCAAACATACTTGGCCTCAGTTATGGGAAGAAAGAGAGGGAGGAGGTGGAGGTTGTGACCTGCACATACTGTGTTTATGAAAACGTTCCTCCACCAAAACAGCACTGGCGTTGCAATACTGTCCTTGAGATGTTCAGTATATTGTTTGCCTGCTATGTCCCATCCCTCCTTCCCTCCCTCCCTCCCTCCCTCTCTTCTTCCCTCCCTCCCAGACAAACGCACTCTCAGAAGCCAGAATTTCTAGTAGAGGCTTTGCAGCAGAACAATTTCTTCCTTAAGCACCATCCCTAAGAAAAAGCTCAGGATGAATAAAGCTCCTGTTTGGAAATGTTGCAAGTGCAAACCACTACATGCAGCTCACAGGAATATCACTGCTTGTTTTCATTTTGAAACAACACAAGCCAGCGAATGCTGGCTCTGAATTTCTGTGGCTTTCACATCCATTTAATCATTTCCTTTCCTCGCAGTTTGCAACTTTCCTGGGCAGAACCCTCCCCTGGACAGCTCAACCCTTTTGTCCCATCTCCCAGCAGGGCAAATTGCAACCTGTAAGGCAAAAGTACGAAAAGTGGGGCCGCGTAGTTCCAGCACCGCTGGAAGCCAACAGCGAGCGCCCAGGTTCCTCCGCACTTCTGTGGCCGCTCTGAAGTGTCACTCCAAGTTTAGGCAGCGCCACCCGGCTGGGACTCTCCGGTCCATTTAAGGTGGGTCTGAACTCATCTTCACTCTACAAATAAGCACCCCGATGGCACCGAACAGCAGGAGGAGCACTCGGGAGGCGCAGATTTTTTGTTCCCCGTGCATCCGGGCGGCTGTAGCGGAACATCCCCCCACACACACCCCCCCCCGCCTCCCGTCCCGCACCCCGCTCCCTTCCCCGCACCTTGCTCGCAGGCTCCCTTGCTGCGCTGGCTGATGGCGGGCTCCCCGCGGCTCTGTGCGCGCAGGCTGGCGGCGCGGAGCTGGCAGCCGCTGCCGTAGGTGAGCCCGTCGCTGCCGCACACCGGGTAGCGGCTCTTGCAGAGGCACACGCCGGGCGGGCCGGCGGCGGGGAGCCCCGGGGCGCTCTTCGCCTTGCGGCGCTGCCGGCTCTTCACGCACTCGAGGCCCGGAGCGCAGCGTCCTCCGGCCGCGCCGCCGCCGGCCCCGCACGCCTCGCCCTCGCCGCGCCCGCACTGCCAGCAGCACCCGCAGGCGTCCCGCACCCGGCCCAGCGGGCACCCCCGCGCCGGCAGCGCCGGGCACAGCGCCGGCTCGCAGGGCCCGCAGCCCCCCGCCGCCACCGCCCCCGCCGGGGCGGGCACCGCCAGCGCCGCCAGCAGCGGCGGCAGCAGCAGCAGCAGCAGCATCGCGGAGGGCGGCATGGCGGCACGGCGCCGCCCGCCCCCGGCACCCGCTTTAGCCGCCGCCGAAGGGGGAAACCCCTCCCCGACGGCGCCGCCCCGGCCACGGCCACGGCCACGGCCACGGGCCCGGCAGCGGGGCGCCGCCGCCCTCCCGCGGCCGCAGGACCCTCCGTGCGCTGCCCCTCCCGGCTGCCCCCCGCTCGGCTCTGGTGTCGCGTCTGTCCCCTCGCTTCTTCTTTCCGCGGAAAGGGACTCGGGGATGGTGGTTGACAGCCGGCCCAGTGTGAGCCAGCAGTGTGCCCAGGTGGCCAAGAAGGCCGATGGCATCCTGGCCTATATCAGCAACAGTGTGGCCAGCAGGACCGCGGAAATGATCATCCTCCTGTAGCTGGCATCGGTGAGGCTGCACCTCAAGCATTGCGTTCAGTTCTGGGCCCCTGATTTCAAAAAGGACCTTGAGGAGCTGGAACATGTCCAGTAAACGGCAACAAGACTCATGAAAGGTCTACAAAATGTGTCTAATGAAGAACAGCTGAGGGAGCTGCATTTGTTTAGTCTTGAGGAGACACAGGGGGGACCTCGTTGCTGTCTACAAGTACCTGAAAAGAGGTTGTAGTGAGGTGGGGGCCAGTCTCTTATGCCATACCTGCAGTGATAGGACCAGAGGAAATAGCCTTAAGCTGAGACAGGGGAGATTCCAACTGGATATTAGAAAAAATTATTCACTGTTAGAGTGGTCAGACTTTGGAATTGGTTGCCCAGGAAGGTGGTGGAGTCACCATCCCTGAAGGAGTTTAAGAGGCATCCAGATCTGGCACTGAGTGAAATGGTTTAGTGGTTTAGGGGTTACAGGGGTAGTGCTGGGTGGATGATTGAACTTGCTGATCTTAAAGGTCTCTTCCAACCTTGATGATTCTATGATTCTTGACACCCACCTATGCTCGGCTCACAGCCATCGACTGCAGAGGGCTGGAGGGGCCCTGGTGAGCCCGTTGGGTTCCTGCAGGAGTGGAGATGAAGAAGAAAAAGAAAGCTGTCTAGTTTCTCTTGTACATGCTGGAAATAACACTGTTACCTGCTGCCACCTTTTACCTTAGCTTGTGACTCCTGCCCCGGGATGCCTGCTGAAGGGTCCCTGAGGGTGGGGGGCTGTTGCCACCAGCAGGAACCGGGAATATTCCTCAGACACCACTGGGCGACGCTTCTGGATTCTGTCAAAACAGTGCCCTCAAAGTGCCAAACTGAAAGCACCACAGTGCTGATAAACCCCTCGGGTGGGGGCAACGGGGCAGCGCAGAGTGCTCTCTCTGGCCTTGCACTCATTTCCTGCCCTTGGGCCTGCCTGTTCTTTCAGGAGCTGTGTCTCCTGCAGGACAGTCCAGGACAGTGCTCAGCATTCGTTCTGCCAGGGCCTGTGTGACAAGTGCTGCTTTGGCACTCCAGGGTGGAGAAGGACAGAGGTAGTTGTTGTCCCTCGCTGTGAAACTGAGGGATGCAGCACTGCCCTGTATGGGTTGTGTTGCCTTAAAGGTTGCGGAGGAAAAAAGACTCCAGGCAAAATTAGGTAGGTAGGAGGTAAGATAAGCAGCAGAGGTTTTAATGAGCGCCAGGCTCCAGGAATACAACCCACGTGCATGTTCTCTCCAACACAGGTGCTACAATCTTTATAATTATATCCAGCCAATCCCTGCCCGGCCATCCGCCCGGTTCTGACCTCCAGACACGCCCTTCAGGAATTGAGTCTGATGGAGTTTTGGGACCCTCTCTTCCTCATATCATCTTCATCAAAGCATGTGCAGTTTTTGGAGGCTTTCCAGGGCTCTGGTCTTGAAGGTCGTTGTGTCTATGTCTATTATCTTCTTGTGCAGATTTTAGGATGTTCTCTACAATTCTACCTTGAAAATGGGACTAAACAGGCTAGTGGAATTTAGGGGGATTGATATGGGAATTAGGTAACAGGTTTGGCTATGTGTAACTCCTGTGTTAAGGGTAAGGGATTAAATGCAGTTACGTTAAAATCTATATTCACTACACAACTACTTCTAAAATCTACCGAAAATTAAAAATTAAAAAATCAAAAACTCCAAGGCCACAGTTGCCAGTGGCTGAGCCCTGCTGGGTGGCCCCCAGGTCGATGCATCCCTTCCCATGCAAAAAGCAGCTGGAGCTGTGACTCAAGACAGCTAAGAGAGTCTGCAAGTTCCCCGTGCTCCCAAATTTGCTCTGGAGGGATTGACCCACACATGCCTGTTCAGCTGCTGACACTGTGGGAACGGGCTCCCACTGCATGCTTCCTAGGCTCCCTGGGGCCCAGCATGAGACATTCCTCTGTTTCTCCTGGGACCATGGTATTTGCATACATGTCCTTGGATTTCTCCATTCCTCTCTGGAAGTGCTGCGTGCTGTTCTCCTGGGCGAAGGGCTGCACTCATAAGCAAGCAGTACACAAAACTTGAGAAGTTTGACACATTTTGTTGTTGTTGTGCTGTGCTGTGTTTTGCTTTAGTTTGTTTTTTATGGGTAATTCACTAGAGAAGTGATGAAAAGGGGGTGAAATGTACAGGGGGACACATCATCCAATCCAGTTCTAGTTACAAAAAAACATTTTGCACATTTCACCTCCTTCCTTTATCTCCTGCCAATTGCCAGGCATCTCCTTCATGGACGCCCAGATTCCTGTTGGTTAGAGTATCACAAGCCCTCATACTCTTAAGCAGAGAATGGCAGGGTGTTTAATTAACCTGCAGTAACTTACCAGAGCAAGCTTTTCTGACATGTCTCTGTCAGCATTCCACTCAGTAGGAGGAAAACTGTAGCTCCGAAAGGAGGAAGGACATCGACACGTTTCCTTTCCTCTCCCCCCCACCCCGAATCTTTTCCTTTCCACGCCAGACTGTAGGCAGTGCCCTTGCCTGTGCTTGGAATAATTTTTCCTCGCAGGCAGGAGGCCTTAGTTCATGCTTTGGTGCAGAAGGACCTCTAGCGTCCCTTCGCAGTTCGTGCTTTGGCATCACCGCTCTAAGCTCGGTATTTCTCCATCTCAAGACCTTCGTAGGTACTGTGGAAGGAGACAAGATGCGCGTAGTACCTCTAGGGAAGTGGTTGGAAGAGACAAGGCTGGGTTGCTCCTCCCTGGGCAGAAGTCAATTACTGTGAGCAAAGCTCACCTTGCTTTGTTTACACGGCTCCTCTGCGGCTCCTCCACATCCCTTTTTCTTCACCCCGGGGACCTCCACGTGCCTTTTTGTGCACCACAGGATGCTCCATTTAAATACATCATATTAGATGCTCCTGCTGTCTCAGTAATGAATTTTCCCCTGTGTTTCAGTGAGGGCCAGTATAAATCTGTAGATTGGTGTTGTGCTTCTTGGGACTTTTGTAGAGTTCCCCACCAAAATCTGTGCTTAGTATTCAGCAGTATAAATTTTTCTTAAGTAGATTTAATTAAAGTTATCAGTGGCAGCTATAGGAATAAAACAAAAGTGCTCTTATGTGTTTGGATCCGTTTCATCATTCATTCCTTATTTCATCACCAAGATGGTCCTGCATTCATCACTCCAGTGAGACAGTGTGGGAGGTGGGGCAGGCTGGGTGGCCTTTCCTGGTGGGGGAAGAAGTGTCCAGGGTCTCTGAAGGCGGGAGGAGATTTGGCAGACAAAAGTAGACTATGTGAGAATGGAAGCAGACAGCTTTCAGATATTGGTGTATTTCCAAATCGAGCGTTTCACTTGGTGTTAGACTTCTCCCAGCCAAGCAACTCCTCCGAATCTGTGCTGGCTCTTACTTGGGATGCAGTTGAGCAGCAGAGTACATCTGTCGATTCTCTACAGGATGGACACGGGCAGGTCGCTCTCCGAACTGAATAATGAAGTCAAACGGGTGCCTTTTCCACATGGAAGACCCTCGCCTTCTGGTTTCCCCTCTCGTCCCACCCGAGCAGCAGCCGCCTCCCCAGGCTGAGGAGAGGCGGGAGCCCACTGGAGCCCAGCAGCTCACGCCTTTTCAGCGCAGAGCTGGAAAAGCTCCGGAGCTTCCCCGCTCCGGACTCTGCGGTGCCGGGCATCCCTCCCGCTCCTCCTCCCGCTGCCGCGGCCCCTGCCGAGTTTCGGTTTCCATTTCCCCGCCGGGGCGTTCCCGGCGCTGTCACGGGCTCTCCCGAGCTGTCCAGCGGCCGGCGGGCGAGGGATGGCGGAGAGACGGCGGCGGGGTCAGGAGAGAGGCTCGAGAGGTACCGACCGGCGCTCAAGTTGGAATAATCTGCTGTGCGACCCCTTGGGGAGGGGAGCCTCTGCGTGAGGGACTTAAACATGTCCCAGTGCGCGGCACTCGGAGAGGGGGGTGTGGAAGGAGGAAGACCATGCCGGGGAATAGACAGAAATTTTCCTCTCTAGTTCCATGTTGGGGGTGTGAGGAGGGTGGGCAGTGAGACTCCAGAGCTCTAAGGGAAATCAGGGCGGGCTTTACCGGTGACTACCTTTCACGCTTGGACATCCTGGGTCTCAGACACTTGTGCTGCTGCAGGGCTGCATGCGAGTAGAACAGGTGCCTCAGGGTCAGGAAAGCACCTGCAGCCCCTCAGCTGTAGACAAGAAGGGACTTCCTTCTGCTCTAAATAGTCAGTGTGTGAATTTTTCATCATTGCTTCTCCAGTGTCATGTAAAACGTTTGACTTTAGGCATCCTCAAGGCGGTGACAAATCTGGGGTGGTCAGATGCCTCAGGAAGTGCTTTGTTTCCCCCAGACACTCTCAACAGATGTGCAAAAGTGACACACTCTGCTTGTGCTGACTGGTTTCACTGGTAGTCGTGGGGGCTGGAGCAGCCTGAGAGATGGGGAAAGGTCTTTCAATGGTAGCCAGAAGAGTCATCCAGCATGAAACCAAGCAGTGGGTAGGTAGGACACAGAAACCCTAAGGAGCCTAAGAAAATAAGCCATACACACTTGTCTGACTTTTTCCTGAGAAGCAGAAGCTGTTGCTGAAAACAGTAGCACACAGAGATCTTGGGGAGGGGGTCAAGGTGATTA